ATAGCGCCATTGCACTCCAGCCTGGGCAACAAGAGCGAAACTCCGTCTCAAAAAAAAAAAAAAAAAAAAAACTGCATTATTTCAAGTACTCTTGACCTACCCAGCTTTTCAAAAATGAATCTGATGACTGCTGTGTCCGAAAGGGTACATTTGAAGGAGCTGCTTTATATAAAATTTCAGACTTCTGAAACTTCCTTATTTTTAGAAAATTAGGTGAAAAAAATATCAGGACATGTCCAAGAGTTTTGTTTTCTTGATTAAGAATGACATTTGATGGCTGGGTGTGGTGGCTCATGTCTGTAATCTCAGCACTTTGGGAGGCCAAGGCGGGTAGATCATGAGGTCAGGAGTTCGAGACCAGCCTGGCCAAGATGGTAAAACCCCGTCTCTACTAAAAATCCAAAAATTAGCTGGGCATGGTGCCGGGTGCCTGTAGTCCCAGCTACTCGGGAGGCTAAGGCAGGGAATTGCTTGAACCTGGGAGGCAGAGGTTGCAGTGAGCCAAGATCACACCACTGCACCCCAGCCTGGGCGAGAGTGCAGTCTCAAAAAAAAGCAAGACTCTGTCTCAAAAAAAAAAAAAAGACATTTGATTTTCATAACTGCACAGAGAAGTTAATTTTTTCATAGTTATTTGATATTTCTTTATAAACATTCTTTTCCTAATTGAAAGTAAATAAAAGCTTAGTTGCTAGACGGTCACACCAAGAAGGAGAAAAAAAGATTCATAAGAAGGCAGGTGAGTGGGTTGCATCCCCTGAATGGAGGGACCTTGGGCTCCCTACTTTGTGTGCAGCTAATTAAAGGACAGTGGAAACGGGCAGGAGGGGTGTGCCTGTGGAGGGGCGTGCCCGTGAGAGGGGTGTGCCTGTGGAGGGGCGTGCCTGCAGGAGGGGCGTGCCTGTGAGAGGGGCGTGCCTGTGAGTGAGGTGTGCCTGTGAGAGGGGCGTGTCTGTGAGAGGGGCGTGTCTGTGAGTGAGGTGTGCCTGTGAGAGGGGCGTGCCTGTGAGAGGGGCGTGTCTGTGAGAGGGGCGTGCCTGCAGGAGGGGCTTGCCTGCAGGAGGGGTGTGCCTGCAGGAGGGGTGTGCCTGCAGGAGGGGTGTGCCTGTGAGAGGGCGTACCTGTGAGAGGGGCATGCCTGCAGGAGGGGCGTGCCTGTGAGAGGGGTGTGCCTGTGAGAGGGGTGTGCCTGCAGGAGGGGTGTGCCTGCAGCAGCTGCTCTGGCTGTAGTCATCTTTGAAGGAGCTGTCATGTGGACACTGTGGGACTGGCGCCTACATCTCTGTCTGCCTTTAGAGCTGGCTCTCTGTGGTCATGGTAGGGGCAGGGAATCTTTTAGGCAAGATGGATTTTAGGCAAAGCCCGTTGGTTTTAAGTGGCTACACAGTTATCACTTCACAATATTTTGGCCTGCCATCCTCGTATAGACTTGAAGTAGCCTGGACACATGACATTCTTATTTTTATTTTGAGACAGGATCTTGCTTTGTCGCCCAAGCTGGAGTGCAGTGGCGTGATCTCGGCTTGCTGCAGCCTCCACCTCCTGGGGTCAAACAATTCTCCTCCCTCTGCTTCCTGAGTAGCTGGGGCTACAGGTGCGTTCCACCACACCTAGCTAATTTTTGGTATTTTTAGTAGAGACAGGATTTCACCATGTTGGCCAGGCTAGTCTTGAACTCCTGATCTTAGGTGATTCACCTGCTTTGGCCTCCCAGAGTGTTGAGATTACTGGCATGAGGCACTACATCTGACTTGCATTCTTATTTTTAAATGTCAAGTGATTTTTTTCCCCCAGAGTTTTTTTTTTTTTTTCTTTTCTGATAAAGTCTTGCTCTTTCTCCAGGCTGGAGTGCAGTGGTGTGATCTTGGCTCACTGCAACCTCCATCTCCTGGACTCAAGCGATTCCACTGCCTCAGCCTCCTAAGTAGCTGGGACTACAGGCGGGCACCACCACACCCGACTCATTTTTTGTATTTTAGTAGAGACGGGGTTTTACCATGGCCAGGTTGGTCTGGATCTCCCGACCTCATGATCTGCCCACTTCAGCCTCCCAAAGTGCTGGGATTACAGGCGTGAGCTACTGCACCCATCCCAGAGTTTGTTTTTTCTAAAGCTCAGGACTTACTCAGTATGTTGAGGTTTGGGTGTACAGCTTTGTGCTGTCTGCCCAATGCTAGGGATGGCTGTGCCACCACGAAGCAGGCAGGTGCTCACTGGGGGTCCTGCTCAAAGCCAGGGCGAGAGGAGTGCATGTCTTTCTGCTGCCAAAGCCCCTACCTAGTTTTTAGACTGCAGTCAACACTAGCCACAGTAGTACCTGCGGTGCCATGGATAATCATTCTGATTCCTTTCCACAATAATGCTAACCTCTAAGCTTTGACTGTATCATTCTTTATATGCCTGGACTAGTATAACAATGAGAACTTCAGGATCATGGAAATAATTCACTAACAACTAAAGTCAAGGCTTCCTGAAATGGGGTGAGATTGTGGCCCACCGTCATGTGCTGGGCCTGTGGACAGATAGTCTGTAGAGAGGGAGCTGTAGCTTGTTCTCCTGTCCCTGCAGTTGGCCTGCTTGCACCAGTTACCCAGGTCTTCTTTCCCCTGAAGTTACTGCCCCGGGTCTTAGGATTTCCTCAGTCTCTCTGTGAGCTCCCCAGACTCTGCTTTCTCCTTTTCCTTTAGTATTTTTTAAAATATGAAGAACAGGCTACCATGTCACACACCTTCAGTGTGGTGACCCTCAGCCCGCAACGCTGGCTTGGTTCACGTTGGGCTTACTCTTGGATAGAATGACTTTGAATGTTTCCACTTTGCTGAGCTTGGATTACCATGTAGCGGAGAAAAGAGAATCAAACAGTTCACGAAGGCCTGTATTAAAATTCTTGCTAATACGAAAGTTTTTCAGAGTTGTGGTTGGAGTGGGGCAATACTCTGGCAGCAGAACACAGTGAACGGACCCCTTTGATATTGCTGTTGTGAGTGTAAATACAGAAAAGTGATGGCTGAATAAGGAATTCATTGCAGCACTGTGCACAATGGAGAAAAACTGGATAGGAAACAATAAGGGAGCAGCAAGCAGCAGGGGCATGGCCGGGGAT